ACTCGGCAAGCGCAGTACAGCCCTACCTCAGATTTGGAAAAAAATCAGTGGATGACTGTTTTCTGACTGGTGGCCGACCGCCGACCGGTCGGCCCTACTGGTCGGCTGCAAAATGGTCGGGGTCGGCGGTCGGCAGTTATGCAACCCTGTTGACAAAGAGGTTGTATTTGCTTGTGTGTATTTGGCCAATGGTCTATTTGTATTCATGAATTGTCCTTGTTTGTGTGTGTAAAAGACAGTGTGATTTGTCTCCAGTGCAGCATAGTTGTACTTGGAATGACCACGTTTCAGGAGAAAACCGTTGACTAACACTTGAGACAGTTCTTACATAACTCTACGGTGAACAGAAACGAATGGTACGTGTAACATTTGGAGACGCCAATCGGAAGGGAAGCAGACAGGAAAAGTACAAGTCCAAGACTGAAAAAAGATAAGAAGTACTGAAAAGAAGCACAAGGATAGTGACGGACTGTTTGTCGGACTTGCGCCGACTCAACAGGAGGCTGGCAGGGTGCAGAATCCCCATATTAATGTCTTGGGTCCTGATCTCGTCTGACCCCGGTTGTAAGTGGGCGGCCAGCAGCTGACATCTCAAGCAGCAAGGCAAGGGCGAGGCAACAAGGCGCTGGACAACAAACAACACAAGGCACATAGGATGGAGGGCATGGAGAAGGCATGTGCAGGCAACAAGGAAGCAAGGCAGTGAGGCAACAAGCAGCATCTGAGAAAGCCAAACGACAAGACAAGCAGCATTGCAGGGCAAGGCAATAAGGCACTAGACGATAAGCAAGAGCAAGGTGCATAGGATGGTGGGCATGTGGGCAGCCAGACAACAAGCAGCAAGCAGCAAGCAGCAAGCAACAAGGCAGCAAGGCAGTGAGGCAACAAGCAGCTTGGAAAGGCCAAATGACAAGGCAAGCAGCAGTGAGGAACAATGAGCAGCGGGCAACAAGGCAACAAGGCAAGAGCAAGGCGAGAGCAAGGCACTGACCCGGAAGGCGTGGGGGAGGTGGGTGGGAAGATGCAAGTAGCAAGCAACAAGTCAGCAAGGCAATGACATCACAAGCAGCAAGGCAAGGGCAAGGCAACAAGGCACTGGACAACAGGCAACAGAAAGGCACATAGTCAGATACCTTTATCCTTTGTAGCGATTATATGGTCTTAATATATGGATCAAATACATTCCGTCCCACATATCATTTCGTCTCACATATCTTGTATCGATGAGATATATATCGATCGCACTACGATGGCTTACTATCTATAGATAGATGCCAATTGGTGTATGTATTGTATTTGTATTGTATATAGACGTGAATACAATGTCACGGGTCTCACTTCACTCATAAACTCGATGCTTCTCCGGGAAAGGCGCGTGGGGGAGGCGGGTGGGCGGCCAAACAACAATGCAAGCCGCAAGCAACACCCCAGCAAGGCAGCAAGGCAACGAGTAGCATCCACAAGGCAGCCAAAGGACAAGCCAAGGAGCAGTGTGACCCAATGAGCAGCGGGCAACAGGGCAGCAAGGCAAGACAGCAAGGCAAGACAGCAAGGCAGTGAGGCAGCAAAGCAACACGGCATAAGGCAGTGAGGCAACAAGTTAACAAGGCAACAAGACAACAGAGCAGCAAGGCAGCACCGACAGGGCGGCCAGGCTACAAGGCAAACATGCAAGCAACACGAAAGACAAGGCAAGCAAATGGGCAGCCAGGCAGCAGAGCAGCGTGGACAAAGCAGTCACACATCCAACACGGACCAAAGAAGGCCATCACCTACTCACACCACAAGTAGAACGTCACAGACTGTAGGTTCACTCCACCATCGGAGCCAGGGAGTCACTTCGACAAATGGCTGTCATCACCCAGGGAACACAGACACAGGCATCGCATACAGTGTTGCAGGCACTCCGAACAAACAGGCACTGACTGTTTGACACTTTGTAGAGGTTCTCACTTAGACGAGAAGCACGCAAAAAGATATGCACAACAAAAAGATATGCACAAAATGAACAATAGTAAAAAATAGTAAAAATACTTACAATGGAAGAAGAAAAGAAGAGAAGAAAAGAAGTATAGGATACAAGGGAAGAAGAAAAGAAGAACAGGAAAGAAAAGAAATAGAAAATACAAGGGAAGAAGAAAAGAATAAAAGGAAAGAAAAGAAATAGAAACTTAAAGTAACAAGTGGACCCGCTGCAGCGACACTGCGGCCGAGGAGAGGGATGAACAGAAAGAGGGGGTGAGAGAGAGAGAGAGGGAGAGAGTTTTGCAGGGATGCATGCAGGGGGAAAAAAAGGAATGAATGCAGTGAGAATGCCACCATGGCGGCAACACATACACACACACACACACACACACACACACACACACCACACGTGCGCACATGTGCAGCAGAGGGAGAGAGTTTTGCAGGGATGCACGCAGGAGGGAAAAAAGGAATGAATGCAGTGATAATGCCACCATGGCGGCGACACACACACACACACACACGCACACGTGCGCAGCAGCGTATATTTCGATGTTATAGCAGAAGATTCATTCGATTTTTAAAAAACAACAAAAAAATTGATAGAATGAGCAAAATCGAATGAATATATCGGTAGTGTGTGTGTGTGTGTGTGTGTGTGTGTGTGTGTGGGTGTGTGTGTGTGGGTGTGTGTGGGTGTGTGTGTGTGTGTGAGAGAGAGAGAGAGAGAGA